TTTTCTAAATAACATATTTTTTTTTGATTATTTTTTTTGACATGAGACAATGGGAAGGTTCCTACCATGGTACAGGCATTTGAGTAAACTATTTTTAGAATATTAAGTTAATTAGTAGATGAACAAAATTTTCATGAAATAATTAACATCTTTCATTTCTGTCTTTTGCAAGAAAGATTGTTTTCAATAGCTATAGGTAATTTGTTTCAAAATTGATCAACAATAATACAACTATCATCCAGGATGCGAGTCATCGATGCAAATGAAATTCTACACCTATGACCCATTTGCTTGTCTTCTTGCTTTACTGCGACATGCGAAACATACAGATAACAATCTTACGGCATAAACTATTTGTATAGAGCTTTATATTTTAGATGGTAATTGACATGGACTGGAGGCTTGATACTTTGTGTACAGATGGCTTATATTACGATGGTCTGTCATATATATTTTGGCCTTGACCTCATTTTCATGCTTGAAAAAAGTTTCTATTTTTGTTATGTGAATTTCTCACTTACCTATTATGTGACCTACCGAATTAGATTATTTACCGGGTTCGTAATAACATGAACAACACGATGGGTGCTACATGTGGAGCATGATCTGCTTACCCGTCCGGAGCACCTGAGATCAAACCTAGTTTTTGGTGGGGTTCGTGTTGCTTAGTCATTTGTTTTCTATGTTGTGTCTTGTGTACTATTATTTGTCTAATTTGCACAGTTCATTGGTCAATGTTAAATTTTTGTTTTTGTCTATTGCTATAAGCAAAGACCAACTATATCTAGTGTATGAAATGATTTTAAGGTGTACATGTCTGTCTGGCAGGGTTCATCTGACGAGTCACCTTGACCTAATTTGTTCATGGTTCATTGGTCAATATTTAGTTTTAATAGTTTTGTCTGTTTCTTGTATAAAATAAGCAATAGCAAAACTATATTAGGTGTGTGTAATGATTGTCAGCTATTATACTTTCTGGCTTAAATTGGTTTATCTTACCTTGACTTTATTTTCATGGATCTTTGATAATGTTAGGTTAATGTGACACTTGTACTAAAACTTTATCTTTAGGACTATCAGCATAAAATAATTCATGAATAGAAGAGCAGGCGATACATTTCAGCTTGTGCATTCTTGTTGCATCTTATATGTTGTATTTGAGACATTTTTGGTTGGAGTTTACAAGACTGACTTTTATTGTTGAGGACCAAGAAATTTGAAAAAAAAATATAGAATGGTAGTATGAACACATGCTCACTATCAAAAAGAAAACATATCTATTCTCTAATACTATGTATTATTAAAGATAGAAGGTATACTAGATAAGCAATAATGTTATCTAAAAATGTTCAGTTACTGTTAAATTCATGTGATAGCTCGATTCACCTTAATTTCATAGGTAGAACATTTGTCTGTATTTTAAATAATTCTTTTATACCAACCGTTTGTGATTTAAGTGCTTTAGATCAAGGACAAAAATTGCCGTTTTTTTCAATTGAACACTCTTTAAGTTGTGACGTTAAAGATGAAGAAAAATGAATTAGACTACATATAGTAATAGACTGAAATATCTTTGGTAGGAGGGTTTCTGTTTCATGGTGATTTAACTAATATTTCCTTTTATATTTAGATTATGTATTTTAAATGAATTCTGCCTTACTACCCTAAAATCTACTGCTGTCAAAATTGTTATGCAATATCAAACCCATACAAAGAACAAAAAGAAGCAAAGTTCAGGTTCTAATTTCCTGCCGTTGAATAGAAAATATCAATGTTGGTATTGCTAGATTCTGGTTTAAACCGATAGCGAGCTTTCTGTAATACAAAGTAATCTAAAGCATTATATTTGCAGAAGTTGAAACTCCCAAAAACAATTAATGAAATGTGGTTATAATTGCCAATGAGACAACTATCCACCAAAGTTCAATTTGAGAAAACTAACTGCCTAATTTATAACAAAACAATTTACAAACAACAATTATGACCGAAATGAACCAACCACAACCACTAGACTACAGGCTCCTGACTTGATCCAAGATTTATGTTAAAAAAAAGATCTTGAAATGTGTGCACTTTCTTTTAAATTACTTTGAAATTATTACTGATAACAAACTGTCAAGGTATCAGAAGAATATTTTCTATCTATAGGAGAAACGTGAACTATATTAAAGGCTTCATTGCAATTTAAGTGCTCCAAGACAGTACCTAGTCAAAAATAGCTATGACCATACATTGTTGCTTAAAGAGCAACAGTTTTAAATTGGACGACTGCATGTTCAATCTACATATTTATTTGTATTATAAAAACAAGGAGATGTGGTATACTTGGCAACTATCAACAACAGAACAAGGATACTAAATATAACCATAATGTCCAACGTCAGACGTCGACAAAATCGGTTCAACCCGACACATTTATATGCACCTCTGTCCCAAGTCGGACAAAGTCATGTCATAGATATGTCTTTGTGTAACTATACATTTAGTTTAATAAACGATATTCTGACGTAATGCTGTACAGCTAGATAACATCTATTTTTTTTTGTCGGAGCCATTCAGAGCTTCTTGCATGGTGTGGACTGCTAAACATTGAAGAACTGTATTGGTGACCTCTGTCTGATGGTTTTGTATTTGTTGCTTATGTGATTGAATTTGGCTGTCTTTATGACAGCTCCTTTTCCGTCTTTCACACAAATCAACAATGAAAAAATCATAGCGCATGGAAAGCTATAAAAGTCTACTTGATAACTAGCGAAAATGATCGTAAGAAAAAAAACCCGCACTGATCTACGTCTAAAGCATTGAATAACACCATTTATGACATACAGCAAGCAACGACAATCAAAAATGAGAAGTCATGGCTTGAAACAGGCACATAAAGAATGTGGCCATATAGTACATCAAAAGAATCATCTTCAATGCAATAATGGGTTGAAATGAAAGAATACATACAGCGATAGAGTTTTAAAATAAAAAAAAACTTGTATTTATCCCAAACCATCTTATGATATTTGTTGATGATTGATTGATTGTTGGTTGCTTAACGTCCAGTGGCAAATATTTCATGCATGTTCAGGACGAGAACAAGTTAACAATAAATACAATATGTAGGTCTTGTAATAATAGAGGCCATCCGGGATGATGGTCGGGGGAATTTGGACTGCCACTGGAAAATGAATGGTATATTGAATAGGGACAGAAATTTTGTCTTGCGACATGCCACCTACAGACCCCTCGAAGAGTTGTTGTAAGGGTTCTTAACGTGCAGAAAGCTTGGCACTCTCTTAACACGAGGCAACGGATTTAACCTCACCATTCTGACAGGACGTAGCTGCAAACTTGATACATCCCGCACAGACAAACGGACGCCCCACTTTGGCAAGCGTTTTACTGCAGGTCGGAAGAAGACCATGTGACCATATTTCTATTCCACACTCACCATTGGGGGTTATGATATTTGTGATAGCTTAACCGAGAACTTTTTTATTAGGTCTTGAATATGTCTACAACTTTCAGTACTTAAAAATGACGGAATTTTCAGTTCTGTAAAATGACTGAAACTGTCAGTACTGACAAATGACTGAAATTTACAGTACTGAAAAATGACTGAAATTATCTGTACTGAAAAACGACTGAAATTTTCTGTACTGAAAAAAGACTGAAATTTTTAGTACTGAAAATGACTGAAATTTACAGTACTGAAAAACGACTGAAATTTTCTGTACTGATAAACGACTGAAATTTTCTGTACTGAAAAATGACTAAAATTATTAGTACTGAAAACAACTTTTTCTCAACATTACTAAAAACATACATACAATTAATTGTACCGAATACATATGAGTAAGAAATGTACAGATTGATGATTTTTAATACCAGTACTGTATATGTAGTGGCATTTAAATTACATGTAAACGCTGTATAAATTCCTGGTAGTGTATAATTTTACCTATTTGGTTATTTCAGGTGCCATTTAAGGCCTATTATCATATTTTATCATTTATAAAAATAACAATTTCATGCTTCAACTACTGGTTTCCATGGTAACCAATATGCAAAAACAGCTATTTTTAAAAGAAACAGTTATCTTTTGCTATGTGATATGATATGTTTATTAGGTATCATATTATTTCTCACTATGTGTATCTGTGAAAAGCTCAAAATGACATTTCACTCAATTTCACCATTTTCCCGCCACAAGTTTTTGGTTTTAAGGGTAAATATTTTTTTTTCCTTATCGGTGACCTATATTTTTTATTTGCTTATTCTTTGAAGCTATATTTCAGCTGTTTATATCACAGTTTTGGACCAAGTGTTACAGACAGTTGTTTTGATATTCCGATAAAAATATGTCAACACCTCTTTTTTCACTTTCATTTCATTGAAAAATGGTCCCTTTTACATACCTGTTTAAAAGTAATATTTTGAGCTTAAATGGTCCGGGACCCCCTATTTGTTTGACCAATTTGGTTCACTCTCTGTAAAGATTAAAATAACAAAAACTACGGCACTTCTGACAGAAACTTTGAATAGGCCCGAGCCACCTTAAACGTTTCCTTAAAATCTATAAAAAGTGAAAGCTAATCTTAAATTTAAACAATATCAATGGATCCTAATGTAATCGTAAAAATCATGAAGCGAAATTGATATTTTACGCTCGATTCATAACGGTTAACGGAAAAACAGTCATGCTTCCTATTAATCATACCTGCTTGTTTAAATAATGATTTTTCCATACATAACGACTGCGTTTTGAATTACGTACTATAAGTGGTAAACATGTTTTTGTTGTCTTGTTTTGTTCTGTCCTTTAATTTTTTTATTGTAGTTTGTCAATAAGACCGTCCATTTTGATATCATGAAATACAATGTGTTTGTAACTCTATTCCAACATATGATAATGTTAGATGCATTAACATGAAAACGGCAAACTCCAATTGTATAAACATGTACCAAATTTTACTGAATTGCTAATAGAATAAATAAAAACTTTGAATTTTTTGACGATCTTTTTATCTTATGTTTTTACAAAAATTATCATCTATATGAACAATATTTTAAATATAATTGAACCGTTTTTCTCCGACATCTCCGATAACAATGCGAAAAACAATTCAGAAGCTAAACGGAATGCATTCATTAAATAAGGAACACTTTTTGTGCATATATGCAACTATAAAATTCAAAATATCATGTACATATCTAAAAGCCAATTTAGGTAAATGAACAAAACATTTTGTAATTGACAATTTGTTTGAATGTATTTTACTATTTACTCAAACATACAAGAAAAAGATTATTTAATATTACATTCTACATTGTTGACTTTGAAGTGTTAAATACAAAACATGTAATAGCACGCTAAGCGTTTTTTAAGAAGTTGAGCTGTTTGATTCGTCACTAAAAGAAAAAGATCGTTAAAAATTATTATCAAAAGTTGTATTATGAACGAAATATTTGTAAAAATGCAGTACCTGGAGATAAAGAATATACAAACAATAATTGTTTTATAACATTGATGTAACGTAAATTTAATTCATCAATATGATTTTCTTTGTTTTGGTATGGTCTTTTTGTTGAAAAAAAATCGATATAAGTTTTGCGTCATGTTTTTCTATTGTTGGGTTTCTATAGGAAATCAAACGTTTTTCAATTATATTTTCATTTATGCATTGGTCTTGTTGTTTAAAAGTATCTGCGGTGTGTTGATTGTGTTTTGTTGTGAAGCTTTCTAAAAAATTCTATTACGTTAATTAAGGTGACAATAGTTTTCGATGTTCAAATCTGGTAAACTTATTAGGGAGACCATTGCATCTGGTTATCTAACGATCAAGAAAATAAATGAAATTTAAGCAACATGACTTCATTTGATATACATATATCTTTGTTTGATAATATATCACTTACAGCTGGACTTGACCTGGATGACGTGGGGTATCTGAAAAAAGGTTAACTGTATTCATTAAATTGTTTACAACATGTTGATAGTACAATCACTTTAATGTTCATCTTTGTTTATATATGAATATGCTTAGACGATCAACATTATATTTTTTTTGACAAAGACAGAATCAAATTCTTGACACACATCATAACATAAGTAAGATTGGTATACACACTGCTGAAACAAGGTAAAAAGGATATATCTAGGAAAAAACATATATATTTAATTCCACATAGAAATATATAATATATATAATAAAAAAAAAAAACAATCAAGCGTAGTGTCTATCTCTTTGATTATCTTATGCGGAAGTTTTGAGAAGGTTTATTATGTACTTGTAGTTTAGCATTGTTCATCGTGTTAAATGCTTCAATAAAGTAATGATTCATCTGTTTCCGATATCTAAACGATTAAAAATGTATAAAAGAACAACACTATGAAAAGGAAATTATAAATACAAGTATCAATATATATTTCGTCGGATATCCGATATCTTTCATCAGTATGATGTGAAAGGAACCATGTCATTATATGCCGGTTTCGTCAAATAATCTTGATCGTAATAGAAAACACGCTTGGTTTATTCTAAAATTTCAAAGTTGACGAAGGTTTAGTATTTACAGCAGAGACTGAACACCCAAAATAAATATCAGCGTACGACTTGGACTTGTATATATAAAAAAGAAGATGTGGTATGATTGCCAATGAGACAACTCTCCATAGAGACCAAATGACACAGAAATTAACAACTATAGGTCACCGTACGGCCTTCAACAATGAGCAAAGCCCATACCGTATTGTAAGCTATAAAAGGCCCCAAAATGACAAATGTAAAACAATTCAAACGAGAATTCTAACGGCCTAATTTATGTACAAAAAATGAACGAAAAACAAATATGTAACACATCAACAAATGACAACCACTGAATTACAGGCTCCTGACTTAGGACAGGCATATACATACAGAATGCGGCGGAGTTAAACATGTTAGCGGGATCCCAACCCTCCCCTAACCTGGGACAGTGGTGTAACATTACAACATAAGAACGAACTATAAAAATCAGTTGAAAAAGGCTTTACTCAATGGATACAAATAGAAATACATCTAACAAAAACACAGAGTGGACGTGGCCGGGTTCTTGTATATCCCAACAACAAAAAGACACTAAGTACTGATCTGAGAATACTCGCAGTTACTGACAGCTAGTTCAAAGCCACTAACAACTAATAAAAAAAAAATCATGCATCTAACATTGTCTAAGACTAAATAGTTAGTTAACGACGGATGATTATATACAACTGAGACTGCGTAGATAAGAAGATTTGACTGTGTGTTTTCAGATCACCACGACGGGTGCCACATGCAGAGCACGATCGGCTTACGCTTCCAGGGAACCCTGAGTTTCTTGTTGCTAAGTCTTTAGTTTTTTAAGTAGTGTTTTGTGTACTATTATTAGTCTGCTAGGCATTAGGGTTTGTCAGTCTATTTTCGACTTATGAGTTTGAATGTCCCACTGGTTCACTTTTTAATTGGTCCAATCTGATATTAATGTTAATTTTCCTATCCAATTTGTTTTACGAAGATCAAGTAATGTAGTGATGGGGGTCATTGATGGTAAATGTCAGTCGATTAAGACAGAGAAAATATCAAATTTGTTAACTTCCATTTAAGACCACACGTAAAAAATATACAATCCTATAGTGCTGTTCATCTTAGATCCATATCTACTCTTTATAAAAGAAAGTTATGAACAAGTATACAGGTAAAATAGCTACGGACGTTTTCAAATACGTCCGTAAAACATCCGTATAACGGACGTTTTACGGAAAAATAGTACCACGTCCGTAAAACGGATCTTACGTTTTACGTACGTTCTAAAACATCCGTTTTACGGACGTTCTCTAAAACGTCCGTATTACGGCTGTAAAAGCACACGTTTTATTTTCATTAAAAAAACCTTGTAAAATATTTGCCTCTTAAATTTCTTTCACTTTAAATTGATATATTAACGTGAAAAAATGGTTTAAAAGAAAATATCACGATTTGATTTATAATAAAGGTACATGTTTTTGACATTCCGTCCTGAAGTAAGGGTATACTGCCCTGCAAAAATAGAATAAACCTGTCTTTTTCGTGTTTGTGTAATTGGTTTGCTGTCTTGTATTAAAGGTGCTTGCATGATGTATCTATGAATGTCAACAAAAAAGGTCATATATAAATCGAGCGATGTCCGTAACTTGCATGATATTCACAAGTGTTTTTCAGAGTATTTCTATACGTGTATCACATATTGTAAATATTGTACAATCAAGCAATACACGTAAAGTGTACATAGATATGATACATATCACATTATTAAGTAAACTGAAAGGCATGTTAAAACATTTTTTGATTTGAGCGTCACTGATGATTCTTTTGTATCTGGACGAAACGCACGCCTGGCGCAAATACAAAATTTCAATCCTGGTATCTAAGTTGAGTGTATGAATATATACATGTAACTTGTATATGTAAATATCTACATTACGCACAGAAGGATTTACATAGTTGAGACAGCAACCCAATGACAAAAAAAAAAAACAACAAAAAACAAACAGCATATAAAGGGTTATATACAACTGTATGTTGTCTTTGACAATTGACATGTGTCTAACAATATGCAAATTTCGTATATCTCACGAGTTTATACAAGTTTTAATAGATAAAACAGACACAACCAGACGAGCTGTCAACAACAAATACTCAAAATAAAATATGACAAAATTGTCAAACAACCACGTACTATGTTTCTTGGCTATGCCAGTGAAATGAATACGTGGAAGGGTAAACTGGCCTTTTGATTAATGCAAAAGTAGAAAATACAAAAAAATAAAAGTGTTTGTATTACATTGCCAGCAAAGACTATTTAATGAGAAATGAGAATAAGTTTTAATTGGTGCTGAAGAAAGATCTTGTTGGTAGACTTAGTATTATAAAATTGCTAAGTATATTTCATTGTGTATTCCAAATTTTTTAATTGTCTATTTTGTTAAATGAATGTGTTGACAAGGGCTACTTGTATTTAAAAATACTAACATATATGCATATTTTTATCATAACGTTATCTGCAGTTATTAAATCTTTCGATTATACCTATACATATTATATTTATATATATTATGTTTTTGATATCCAAACACAAAAAGATGTTTCTCCAAAAAATTTTTGTCACGAAAACTAACTTGTTACCCTTTGTTTGACAATGAGTAACAATTTGGAATAGAGTTTTATACCTATATATCAATTTTAAATCCCAACTTAAACAGTCGAACCCCAGAATTAGGTTTTGTTTTAACAAAAAGGTACTTCAAACTTTAACTTTTTTTGTTTACCTCCGATCACTTTAAAACAAATTATTTATTACACGTATATATCACTTTTTTTCAAGTCCTAGTATAAGAGGACATTTTACAAAGTTGGTGATTTTTAACAATAAATAAGTTTGCCAAATTAAATTTATCTCGTTCTTTAAATAAAAACAAAAACAAAACAAGTTTTGGGACCTGGAAACTTTCTTGAATAGCATGTAATACATATCAAATACATATACAAATCCAACCACCATAAAATATTTCAAATTTTTCTCTGACTTTTTACAGAAATTAAAAAAAGTATGGTACTATTACCTGTAACTTAACCAAAACATTTTTTTCCGTTGTAAATTTTGAATAATATTGTAACTATAAATTTCTTATATTTCACTTAATTCCCTCCCTTTCTTTTTGACATGTTAATATTAAAACAATTTTGAATAGCATATGACACCCATATCTCAACTTTTTTGAAAATGAAATATTAGCTCAAGAAGATGCTTCTGACAGATTTTTTCAACAAAAACTGAGTTTTTATCACAATTACTGTCAAAATTTAACATCAAAAATAGGTTCTTTCCTTTTATAAATATGAACACTGTGTTAAAAGACTTTAACAAGCTGTTGAGACAATCTTGATAACTTTGAATCTTAAGTCAAAAATGTGTTGACGAACTAAACATTGTAACCAAAATAGAGCACCTGTGTGAAAAAATTTTCAAACATTTTTTATATGAAGGTCAGAGGTCATAGTCAGGTGATGATCATGGTAATATGCATAACACCTTCTTGAAGTAATACACCTTTTCATCAATTATTAAAAACCATTGATGAGATTAAACAGTATTCATCCGGGCAAGGTTGTATGGGAACAACCGAGTACGAAGAAATACAATTAAACATATTTTAGGGCTCTATCTTTGTCTAAAAGAATTACATAAATTTAAATACTATGTGTATACTTTGCGTCTCGTACAGTGGTTATACTGATCTATGTCACTAGTATTCACAAGTCCGTAAAATAGACACAATTTAACAATCTGTATGATAGACGCGTTACCGGGGTGAATACGGACGTTATACGGATGGGGGAAAACGGACGTTTTACGGATGAGAAAAACGGACGTTTTACGTCCGTTGTACGAAACGTCAGTAAAACATCCGTTTCATACAGGCGTTTTACGTCCGTAGCTATTTTACCTGTGTACTAGTGTCCTACAGTGAATCCAAGTCCTTTCATTTAATACCTTAATTAACCAACTACATGTTTATTACACTTCATTAAACCAAAAATATTCGTTAGAAATCTGCATTTTTGGTGAAATGATAATTGTTAGGACTATTATTGTGAAAATAATTGTATGAATTTCAAGATTATGTACTCGTCACAAAAATACGTCACTGTTTGTTTTGGCTTGTGCTGTCGTTAATTGGGATGTTCGTTGTTATTCTGTGGTTTACATGTTGTAAAGACTAACATATCATTTATGTGTGCGTTTTTCTGTGCTTAATGTTCTTCCGTTTGTTTGTGCTTCATTCCTGTCACATAGTGTTGTCATTTTAGCGGTATCATTTAATTTGCCATATAGCCGGGAGGTTTGCCTGGCCATAAAACCAGGTTCAACCAATAATTTCTTTTTAATGTGCTGTACCAAGTCAGGAATATGGCAGTTGTTATCAAATAGTTCGTTTTTATGTATGTTTGCGTTTTATTTTGGTGCACTTCAGTGTTTCTGTTGTTCCGTTGTTTTCCTGCATAGTTGCTGAGTTTCCCTCGGTTTTAGTCTGTAACCCAGATTTGTTTTCTCTCAATCGTTTTATGACATTAGAACTGAAGTATACTACTGTTACCTTTATTAACACTGATAGCTTAGTATAATGGATCCACTATTATGTCATAAAACACGGCTTTATTCTGGTACATTTTCACTTTTAACTGGATTTGGTTTCGGGCTTATTTAGATTCAAACTCCACTGATTAATCTTATGTCGATAAAACTTGCGTCTTGTTAACTGAATTAAAACCGGTATCTTTGATGAGTTTTTATTACAAACCTTTATGTTTGCTTACCATTTGAATTCGAATGTGTTTCATTGGTAATCGTATTGTCTGCCCCTGGTGATGGATGATTCCTGAAATTATCGAAAACACTTCAGCATACAAATAAATAATGTTGTATATACGCGCATTTATTCATGGTAGTTCATCAATTAAAAGTATGTATGCATTCATTGTTTGAATGTTTTCCTTACACACCAAAAACAAGAGGCTCACAAGAGCCTGAATCGCTCACCTGTATTTCAAAGGAGAAAATTTTTAAATGTTAGCAAACTTGATGAACAAATTGTGTTAAATTGTCTTTAAAGGGCAATAACTCCTTAAGGGGTCGATTGACAATTATGGTCATATTAACATTTTTGTAGATCTTACTTTGCTGAACATTATTGCTGCTTACAGTTTATATATATCTATAATAATATTCAAAATATAACAAAAAACTGCAAAATTTTGTTAAAACTACCAATTTGGTGGCAGCAACCCAACAATGGGTTGTTCTATTCGTCTGAAAATTTCAGGGCCGATAGATCTTGACCAATTGAATAATTTTTCCTTATGTCCCATTTGCTCTAAAAGATTTAGTTTTTGTGATATAAGCCAAAAACTGAATTTGACCCTTGTGGTCTATTTTTAGCCATGGCTGCCATGTCTGTCGATGGATACAAACTTCGGATACAATTTATAAACAAAATACCCTAAGGAACATTTAGTTAAAGTTTGAAGGTGATTGGCCCAGTAGTTTCAGAGGAGAAGATTTTTAAATGTTAGCAAACTTGATGAACAAATTGTGTAAAATTCTCTTTAAAGGGCAATAACTCCTTAAGGTGTCGATTGACAATTATGGTCATATAAACTTTTTTTGTAGATCTTACTTTGCTGAACATTATTGCTGCTTACAGTTTATATATATATCTATAATAATATTCAAAATAATAACAAAAAACTGCAAAATTTTGTACAAACTACCAATTTGGTGGCAGCAACCCAACAATGGGTTGTTCGATTCGTCTGAAAATTTCAGGGCCGATAGATCTTGACCAATTAAACAATTTTACCCCTGTCACATTTGCTTTAAAAGATTTAGTTTTTGAGATATAAGCCAAAAACTGCATTTGACCCTTATGTTCTATTTTTAGCCATAGCGGCCATGTTTGTCGATGGATACAAACTTCGGATACAATTTATAAACAAGATACCCTAAGGAACATTTAGTTAAAGTTTGAAGGTAATTGGCCCAGTAGTTTCAAAGGAGAAGATTTTTGAAATAGTTTACGACGACAGACGACGACAGACGACGACGACGACAGACGACGACAGACGACGACGACGACAGACGACGATGACAGACGAAGACGACAGACGACGGACGCCAAGTGATGGCATAAGCTCACATGGGGCCCTTCGGGCCCCGGTGAGCTAAAAAGCGACGAAGAATCACATTTTTACTGTTAAAATTATAGCTTAATTAGTATCTATCATAGAGCATCTATTACGTAACAACTGAAAAACAAATGTATCTTCAATTACACAGTAAATGAAAACAAATTGTTCTGATAAAGTAACATCCTAGCTGTATGAATTAAAAGGAAATATGACTTTCTTATTCGGAAAAGATATAAATTTGCATTATAAGAAAAAAGTAAAATAACAAAAATACCGAACTCCAAAGAAAATTAAAATAGAGAAGTCCCTTATCAAAAGACTTATTTATTAACAATTTCAGGTCATCTACTTAAAAATGCTACAAAACAGAGGAATGATATCTATGATGAAAAAAAAAAAAAAACCAAGATGCATCACTATGTTTATATGCTTTAATGTATTGGCTAATAGGGTTAATAGAAACCAGAGAATACACCTAAACGGAAACAATAGACATGTGAATTTGATAGAATTCAGTATTATAGTATCATAATATTATGTATTTAGTGATCAAAATTTACAAATGAATTTCTTTAAGTATTCGTTCAATTCACATAACTGAGTGCGACTTAACATATGATAGCAGAAAAATAAACCCCGAAACATTTAGGTCAATATTATAAATTCCAATACAGCTACTGATTTGACCACGCTGTGCCAAACTGAAGAGGAAAGTAAAACATATTTCCCTTTTTAATTTGAGTGACACTGATGAGTATTTTGTAGACGAAATGCACGTCTGACGTACAATTTTCTTATCCTGGTATCGATGATAAATTAAAAATTATTAATCTTGATATTGGCACTGTTTTTAGCGATATCAGACATGTAAATTTTCATATTTGGATTAAAACATCTAATTTGAGGAACTATAAGTTGCTTATCAGAAAACACTAAAATTTATTGATTTTTTGTGTATCTATACTACTAAAGGAAGAGACCGATTTCATTGAGCCGCAACTCCTCTGAAACCATACTAATTCTGAAATATTTGTGATATGACGTATAAATGTAGTGTTATGTGCTTCCTAAATTTGTCTTTGAAACAATCTTTTTTCCACAAAAAATCTAATTTTTGTGAAAATATCCAATTTAAGAGACCGTTATCGATCCGTGTCTTTCGTGCATGCTTAGACGACACACTGCCCGCAATATTAACAACTCCTTGTTGGTTAGCAACAAAATCAGGTTCAACCCACCATTTTTTCTTTAAATGTCCTGTACCAAGTCAGGAAAATGGCAGTTGTTATCTTACAGTTTGTTTCTGTGCGTGTTGCATTGTCGTTTGTTTTTTGTTGCTCTTCGGTGATTCTGTTGTTTCGTTGTTTTCCTCTTATAGTTGATGTGTTTCCCTCGAATTTATTTTGTAACCCGGATTTGTTTTCTCTCAATCGATTTATGACTTTCGAACAGCGGTATAGTAATATTGCCTTTATTCGACACTTGCCTTATTGTTATGCGATTTCGCGGACATCTTCTAGTGTCAATAATGAGAGCAACCTTCAAAGCAAATTGACTCTTTTATTATATATAGAAGATCTGGGGTAATAAATGCTTACAAATTGGAAAAGAAATTTGGTTTGAGCATTTAAATTGCAATTATTTAAATCCTTCCATGGCATACTCGGTTTTTAGAGGATTCATGTTGCTTAATCTTGTAAATTTTGTGCAGTGTTTAGTTGGATGTTGAGTTCCTTGGGTTTTTCACTTCTGTTCATTGGATTATCATTTTTTTTGCATTGACTTATAATTTTTCCTTTGCCATGTAATGTCTGCCTATTTCCAACTAGTGTATTAAAGGTTATAGCAACGGAACCCCTAATGTCTAGCGAATTCAATAATATTGAAAATTTAACCAGTCCTATTTCAAATGTAGACAGGACCACATCTTCTTTTTTATAAAGACTACATTATTTATTTAAACTATTGTTGAAGCCTAGTCCAAGACTGTAAATTTGCTGGCAGTTTTTGGTTAGGGTGTTTCACTCCTTTGTGATTGATATTGATACACCTATGACATTTAGCATGCATACATCGTACTAGCAAAATGAACAGGCTTATCAGGATCATAATTTGACATGCTCTAGCGTATTTACCTGACGATATCGGGATATGGGTATTTAGTCGGATCTTAACAGGTAGTTGTGATAATTTTACAACCCGGTATGGATGAAAGTAAATAAAGAATGTAAAATGTTCAGGCTTTAATTAAATCTGTATTTGGGTAAGTTGATGCAAGCATACGATCTGTATTGCGTCTTATACTATGAGAAGCAAATAATCTTTAACTACTATATTATATTATTGTGTAAAAAACGTTTATTATGAGCTATGAAAGTCAAGTAGCTCGAGCATTTTTCTGGGTAAATTTTAAAAAATTTCAAAGAATATTCTTTACTGTGTGTTAGCATTCATTAGATGTCACTAGCATATAGATGAACAACTTTTGGTTATATTGATAATTTAGAATCTTCATTGAAGGTGGAGCACGAATGCGCAGTTAATTAATTATATTGATGTGTCATTTGTATGCAAGAGTGACATTCCTTTGTACTATGTTCCGATTCGAAAAAGTCAATTCAAGCTATGCGAGTATTGTCTCCCTTGAACAGGTTCATAATATGATATTTACGTATAGTTATTTGATTTAATTTTGAATAATTACAAAATTTATAAATTCAATAGAATTCAGTTTTTGTTATTGGTGTATTAAAGACATTGATGTATAAATATATTTTTATTAATTTGAAACGTTTAATTTTATTACATACCAATATATAGAACCGTTCGTCGTTTTTAAATATTATTCAGTTATACACATGTACTTCCAACACCGACATGCAAGTCACAAAATACTTTGTGTAGTGAGACAATGAACTGTAATAGACTCTGTCAATGCAATGCCTCAGACAGAACAGAATACTGTTTAAATATAATATGAGGTAACATCCAGGTGATCAAAACGCGTGTAAATAGACACATATAGCTATATATATAGTCAATCAGCTGTCATAGATACACTGTTTTAAATTGTGTCCACATCATCTAACCTGCAACAGCATTGATCCTGCTACTTGTAAAAGCATTTGTCGCTTTAAGGTAGATGGGGTGTCTAAATTATAATCCATAGAATTTAAAAAAACTTTGCCATAATGTAGTACTAGTATATATCATGCTTTTTTAAAAAAACATAATAAAAAGAATGGGTCACGGTGCTTATTTTCACGCCTCAGGGTGTGCAAAATTGACAGATTTTGTATAGATTATGCATGGAAAACCCAATGTTCTGCCAATAAACGAAAACTGCACCATAGAATTTTGGGATACAATATGAGAAGATAGCTCTAATATTATGTTTTCAGATAAGAAAAAGAAAAAATGGGGTCACGGGTCCCGTTTTCTTGCTACATAATAAAATAGGTAAATTCCTAACAAATTCTATTGTAAAAGTAACTTTATCTGAATTATCTGCCCTTAAATTTGAGTTGCCTCCCCTTATGTGGCAAAGATGGAAAAAATTGAATCGAACAAAAGTATTCTGTTTTTTTGTTAAATACAATCACAAATATGATAAAACATGTCATTTTCTATGTTGAAATGAAAATTCTTAAACATAAATTACCTACTACTCTCAAATTTAGCATATTTTATTAAAGATCTAGACCGATTGTTTCCTGGTATTTCAAAATCCAAGATGGAGGAAGACACCCTATCTACCTGGATATGGTGTATACAATTTTGTCAGAACTGAAATATTAATTTATCTGCATTACTCGATCCCTTAAGACAAATACATGAAAGGAGTGTAACACCCCCCTAATACAAAAACACATATGCACAAACACAAAAACAGAACACAATAGTCACCACTTTATTCAAACTTATGCCAAATGCTTGAGTGAAAAATTATAATTGGAATCGTACATTTTTTACTTTTTTGAAAAAAACTATAAATGAAAACCGAATTATATTATCTCCCCATAATGATAGAATGTTGGGAAAATTAACCAGAGTTATCTTACATTAATCACAGAGAGGGGCTAGCAAACAATTTTTAATTGTAGCTTAATTAACGCTAAAACAATTTTCCACTATAAAAAAATGTTACTTTATTCAAAAAAAAAGGCCTTTGTAAGCTAAATCTTCTAATTTTATTAGATATTATGAATGTTTATGACAATAGATAAACATGCTACTTACTCTGGTCTAGTTTCTGGAGACGCTGTGCTTCCTAATAATATATAACAAATATTAATTAAGTATAAATCAATTAACTTGGAATTTGAAAATATTGTCTTGTTTATGACGTTGACAATGCGTTTCCGTAGAGTGTTATTTGTGACGTCACTAAAACATACAGGTTCGCGGAAATTTTACGTCGTCTGCTCCAAATTTAGAAAAATGATGGTTTTTACTCAAAATATTTCATTTAGAACAGTTGTAGCAGTTGTAGTTTATAACTAATAACCATACGTTGTCTCGAAATATATATTTTATGTGTAGTCGGATCAAAACATGATAGAAATGCTCGGCAAAGCCTCACTTTCTACCTGTGTTTAAGCCAAGTACAGATTAAATTCACATTTCGAGACAATATATTGTTTTTTAATATTTATACGACTTTTTCATGGCATAAGCAACAAGACGGATGGAATTTATTCAACAGGTACCGCGTATCTATTGCATAAGTTAAACTCTTTTCATTTATAGGTCATGTGGTATTTAGATATAAGGAGATGTGGTATGAGTGCTAATAAGAGAACTCTCCATCCAAGATTGATCCAAATACCATACACTACCATTGTCTGGTATAACCTTTTGCTCAGTCACGAGGTGGTTTACTTCTCTTTTTCCATTTCAAATTAAACTTGCTCAATTTAGAGTAAACTATTAAGAGAGTCGGTCAAATTTTCTTAATAGACAACATGGACTCATTCCATATTATCTCTAGAAAACGTTTCTATATCAAATAAAGTTTTAGGATACACTTTTTTTTACATGTGAGATGATGAAAAGACAATATCTAATAATAAAACAGACACATTGTAAAATACAAAATCAATCAGAAAAAAAACTAAAAGCAAAAAAACATAACAAATACTGGAATTTTATAAACATTCTAAATGGCTACAATGAAAATGGAAATGAAATAATTACTGAATTTTCTCTCACTTATGATCATTTTCGTGTCTGACTTTTTTACGCTATTGTATTTTATTATCATCTTTCTTTACAAAACGCTAGATTCCTTATTATTAAATGTTTTATGCAGATGTATTTTCGCAACGACAGAAATTGTCATAACTGGCATTAGTCATTATAATTGCTTATCAGAATATATCTGTTTTTGGGCTGTATAATACGTTGTTTCCGGATACACAAGATTTTATAAGACTACCTTTGCACACTGATTCTTTCATTCATTTATATTGTCTGTAAGGGGGCGTTTACAAATCTTTGGTTAACTTTGTATTTCTTTTATTTAAGTTTCCTGATATTTGGTTTGTGAACTTGTGTGCCTTTTAATCGGGTTTCGCATTGTCAGTGACTAATGAGTTTTGAGTGTTATTTTGGTATTTTCTGCTTCTTTATTGTTTGTTGTTTCAAAACGTTATAGTTATCCTTCATCTCTCAATTGAATTCTTAAATACTGGTTCTCTATTAAAAAAAGGACAACAATGACAGAATTTAGTTGTACAAGCTCGCGTGTTGTAGCTCAAGTGAAAAGTTCCATGTTCATTCTTCTTTTAATTCTTTGTTCGGTAATTGGAATTACTTTTTTTCTTCGGTGAGTCATATCGGAAATTGCGGTAGTCTTGTACTTAAGTATCAGGAGGGTATTTTAAATGATAAAACACGTCTCATATTTAGAAAGGTCCGTAACAACACATACAAATAAGGCAGTATTCAAACTGTAGGACATCAGAACAATTAGCAAACTATTTCGTCCCGGACATTGATCTAGCTTGATTCTATAAATCGCGGATCGACATGTGAGAAACAAAAGTACACTTTATCAGAGAGAGTTGAAAATAGGAGTTCCAAATATTAATAGTTCAAGTTCTCATATTTCATATTGCTGCTAATTAACAGTTTTGTTTTACACTAATACATTATTTTCCCCTTTTTGGTCGAATACATTGAATAATATAATAATCAATATGTCTTTATTGACTGCATTGATCATACAAATAGTTTTGTTTCATAGAACAATCTACAAGACAACAGCCACCGCATCATAATTCAGATCAAAGGACCGTTTTATGGTGTCTGAACATTGTAAACAAAGTAAGAAGAAATAGGGGAAGTATACTAGTCAATATGTCAACTGGATATCTCCCATAGTTTAAGTCTACAACATGTATCGAAGAGGGATCAATAAATGAATCTTATTCAACTTGTTACATCAATTTACCTTTAGAATGAGTTTTGAGGATTAGTAATTAGGTGTATTGAATCATGCTTTTAATTTTGATCTGAGCATCATTGATGAGTCTTATGTAGACGAAACGCGCGTCTGGCGTATCAAATTATAAGCCCGGTACCTTTGATAACTAACTATTTAATACTTGATGTAGTAATGTTTTCTGGCTTAAATAAGAAAACAAATTGATACTGGATAAAGATTAAGTAACAGTTTGATAAAAGTTGGTCAATTTAAATTTTTTTAAATTTGTTATATATATTCATGTTGATATTTACTCAAGTTGGAATATATAAGTTATAGAATAGCTAGCGTAGTTTATATACTGACGGACTTAAAAAACGCAAATCATAACTTATATTCATTTCATTGCTTATCAAGCTTCCCGCACGTACTCATTTTGAATAGAAAAATCAATACCTAAATTTTACAGACAATCAAATATCGCGAAATTTTTGTCGTCGCTAGAATTTCTTGACGCGAAATTAGAAGCGCATATATGATTCTTTCGAGAATTTTTCTTCGTTAAACATTTTCATGAATCAATTTCCAAGTTTAAATCAGTAAAAGGTTGTTGATTTTCCTTTTTGTCACGACTGATAAACAAAAATTGAAAATAAATCATTAGAAATTTACAGACAGAAGTAAGTGCACGTTCTTGAGTACAAATTCGGGCTATGAAATTACTTTAAAGTCCCTGCAACTTCATAGCAGGTAGTCATAACTCGCAAGGGAACAACAATGGACCCGGTATACCTGTAGATTAACGTTATGTCCTGTCAATCAAATTAGGCAACGTCATTTGCAACACAGTATAACGGCTACAACGTCAAGTTTGTTTAGCAATTCGTTGGATGTCATGGTTTGCAGATTTACATTAGCATTGTTTTTCGTATGCTGAAATGCCACAGAATTATTTCTAAGGGTTTCAGTGTACACCACATGACTGCAAAAACAGACTGAAATGGGTGGAAATGGGCAAAATCAGAAGGGGGAAAACATTCCCAACAGTATTGGTTAACCTTTCTGTGAATCATTTAGGGATTCTTAACAGCTTCGGATGCATGAAATTATTAAACTTGTTGTTTTCATTTTTTTAACAGCTTTCCTTGCCTTTGACGATTGACACGACCAATAATGAAGACATTACAAGGATTTTAGTGCAAATCACATGATTCAAACGTTAAAAGTGACGTTATCAATTCAATTTTTCGAATTTCAAATTTACCTTAGACGATGCAAAATTGAATCAACTTTATATTCAATTAAGTATTTCATGTGTAATGCTCATTTTAAAATTAAAAATCTAAAAAAACTAATCGAGTGTTGCGTTTGTAAAGTTCGTCAGTATACCAAAAGGTCTTCAACCACAGTTCTTGAATGGGGAATGGCAAGTTTATAGTTTGTAAACATTTTGGGTAAATAAAGGCAACAATAGTATACCGGTGTTCAAAGGTCATAAATCAATCGAAAGAAAATAATTCCAGGTTACAAACTAAAGCCGAAGGATACACATCATCTATAAGAGGAAAACGAAGGGAAATGCAACAGGAACACTGAAGTGCCACAATAACAGACGCCAACATACATAGAAACGAATTATTAAATAACAACTGCCATATTCCTGGCTTGGTTCAGGACATTTCAAGAAATGAATGGTGAGTTGAATCTTGTGTTATGGCTAGCCAAACCTCCCGCTTATAGGTTGCACTTTGTAAATACAGCTGTTTCTCAAACCAAACCTCTTTTGGGGAGATATATAATACTCATAGATATGTTGATTTGTTAACGTACTAGTTCCCAGATATGATCTCTATGTTTCGTCTCATAGAGACATAACTTGGGACTGTTACCAGTATAAAAAATATACTATTGCGGTGAAAAATGAATTCTGAAATAGGCAAAATGAAAAGGTAAGGGTAGTACATAATATTAGTATAAGTTTGAACTCTAACAAGTTCAGGGCATATATATGTTAAATATATGCTGCACAGCCCTATGTTTTGACCTTTCAATAAAATAGTAGTGCATACCAACTTTCCATTCTAGGATATAATTTTTCCACAAAGCTTCATTGTAAAAGTGTCATAGTTTTACATGATTTTTTATCCCAGGCATAGATTACCTTAGCCGTATTAGGCACAACGTTTTGAAATTTTGGATCCCCAATACTCTTCAACTTTGTACTTGTTTGGCTTTATAACTATTTTGATCTGAGCGTCACTGATGAGTCTTATGTAGACTGAACGCGCGTCGTACGTATCAAATTATAAGCGTGGTACCTTTGATAAATATTAGCCGCAAAGGGAGATCCTATGGAAAATTGCGTTGTCTATATTTATAGAAATGCAACCTATATGTAAATTAGGAATATTTTTTTTTAAAGATTTTGTAAAAAAAAAAATTCCATTTCACTTTTCAAAATTTATTATTGAAATGAAGATGACAATATGACTAAAATCAATTATAAACATTGAATATATTGGCAGCACTATACTATCATTTAACGTTACTTTCCAACATATATATGGTTTTAGCAATTATCGTTTGTCATTATGCGATATCGACGTGAATATTTCCTTTCTAAAAGACATCCTTATATATAAAATGTTGTGTTGTATACTAATGTTACAACAAATATATCTGGGAGTTAGACGTACACCGAACAATACAGCTATCCATTTAATCTTTAGATTTTAACATCAGTGATGGAAAACATAGCCACAAAACCTAGTATATTAAATAATGTATTATAAATTTGTATATCTGAACGGTTTCTGTGATAAAAGTAGCACGACTCACTTGTAAAATAGTCTTTGAATTTTATACTCTCATTATAAGTCTGAGTTATATATTACTAGCTTACATGTTTGGTAACCAACCGTATGCGAAATCTACATTATTTCAATGATAAATTTACAATCAAAGATATTTACTGCAAATTTACGTATATAATGTTTGAAGTAATGCTTACCAATGCCACAGCATTTATACAGACACACGGTTGCCACTATAATGCCAATCATAGTGCAAAAAGAACCCACAATAGCACCTACTATCGTTGGCCAATGCGGATTGTTAGAACCTGAAAACGCAAACAGCTTTGTAAAATAACGACAATAAGTAAACAATTCATCTGATAAAACACGACTTAAATTACTATGTTTACACAAAACTATTAATTCATGATAAAATTATCCTTCGCACGCATGAATCAGCATGACTTTGTGCAATACTGATGACGTCACCTTGTTGATATCAAATCAGCTTGTCGTCCCTGTACAAAATAGACAAAAAGCCGTAGTATCCTATGCCATACAGGAAATTTATTTCCGGTTCTAAATTGTTTTACGCCTCACTTGATATTTGACTTATGTTTATGCATGATTCGAGTCTAAGGGCCAATATATCTAAATTCGAATATAAATCAAGGCCAATGCAGAATCAGCCAGTCTATAAAACTATATTGTTTTTGACATAAATAACGACATGAAAATATTCAATACGCCAAGGTTGAACTGTATTAATATGTATTTCGCATCTACAATATTGGTTAAATCGATTATTTGTTTTGTTTCAACCAGAAGGTTAGAGATTTCGATACCTCAATGCACTTGAAAAACTTTATACTAGCTTTATAGATGCAAATATTTTGTTTTGATAACAAACACTAAACATGTACCAAAAATGTCTTTTGTTTGGAGAGGAGTGAGCGCCCCGCCAGTTTGTTGTGAGTGTCGTTCCAACGCAAGATGTATTGATCAAAGGTTTTTTTTTTACGATAAATATATGAATTGTTTCTGTTTTATGGCATTAGCTTTAATTAGACAGTTAGGTTGGCAATTTTCTTTAGTTTCACATGTTGTCATCGCGGACCGTTTTCAGGCATACTTTTTTTTAGTTGTAAGGGCTTTGAACTAGCTGTCAGTAACTGCGAGTACTCTCAGATCTGTACTTAGTGTCTTAGTGTCTTTTTGTTGTTGAGATGTCAAAGTATCCGGTCACGTCCACTTGTATTTGTAGTATTTATATTTTTATCCATCTGATGAGTTATGTTGTACTGTTACACCACTGTCCAAGGTTAGGGGAGGGATGGGATCCCGCTAACATGTTTAACCCGCCACATTCTGTATGTATGTGCCTGTCTCAAGTCAGGAGCCTGTAATTCAGTGGTTGTCGTTTGTTTATGTGTTACATATTTGTTTTTCGTTCATTTTTTGTACATAAATTAGGCCGTTAGTTTTTTGTTTGAATTGTTTTACATTGTCATTTTGGGGCCTTTTATAGCTGACTATGCGGTATGGGCTTTGTTCATTGTTGAAAGCCGTATGGTGACCTATAGATGTTAATTTCTGTGTTATTTTGGTATCATGTGGAGAGTTGTCTCATTGGCAATCATACCAAATCTCTTTTTTTTATATTTACCACTTTTTTTTTGGTTAATTATTGAAGTCCAATAAAATGGCCTGTAGGTATCTTCATCATTAACCATCGATATTTGATGGATAATCTCATCGGTAATCATGTAACATCTCCATATATCTAATAAAAATAACTAAGCTTAACCTGAATCTAAAATTGCATAAGTTGTAAACACTTGTCGTTTTGGTCAGATATGTTTTAACAACGTAAATGTATAAGAGTTGTTTAAAAAGATTAGTTACTAGTATACAAACTATTTGTCTACTCGATTGAGATAAAAGCAGATCATTTAATACTTTAATATCTCAATAATTCACTGAAAATAAATAAGTTCATAGTAGTCTTAAGATAATCGTACCTTGGATAATCATAATTTCATCCGCCTCATCTTCTGGCATTACTGAAATTAAAAGACATAATCGAGTAAAATAATTGATTTTGGGAATACCAAATGTATTCACCAATTCAAAATAATGTTTAATATTCATGACTATAACTTTTATTAGCAATTAACGAAGGAGTCTTAGGATAAACGAACTATAAAATAACTATATTTTTATGATACTCAGTTTATATTCTGCCACTGTTAGAAACATAATCTAAACGAGAAAACTCAACTTCAAGATGACCTTCTGTAATTGTCTCTTCGTAAAGGAGGTTTGCGACTGCTTAGAAATTGGAAGATTTGACAAAAAGGTATACTGATTTGGATATCAAGTAAACCTTCTACTGTCGGCAGTATCTTAAATTTCAAGTTCATTTGAATACAATAGTTTATTCAAAAGATCAACACGTTTACTTGGATTGTTTTGGGATTTTAATTTATTCAATGTATATCTTGTCATTCTCCATTTTCTCATCAGGATTCCTGGAGTCGGTTTCACAAAAACCTTACGATTAAGATAGATCGTAAGTCTTGAACAATTCAGTATACTTAAGATAAATCGTAGTCGTAAGTTTTGTTTGTGAAACTGACACCTGACTTCTGTTATAATACAAATATCTCTGTTATCACAGGGTCATTATTATCTGGTAAATAATGAAAAAAAGTTCATGATGAATATCATAACCGATTTAAATTGTCCCTTTTTTTTTTAATTGTTGTTAAATTTCAATTTGATATAGATTGATAAATCTGATAGCTAGACCAGAGTCATATCGCGTAGATGTTATCTTCTTTTTTACGCTTTGTCATAAACCTTAGATTAAATACACAAAAAACAAATATCTATGTTACTGCCTTTTAAGCTATATCAGTTATTTTCTGTTCACGTCTTCTATCAAACAAAAAGATTGGGTACCATAGTAAAACATTTAATTGGAATATTATACACATTTTCGTTTGAAAGTTCTTTTAGATATAAAGTTTAACTTCCAATTAAATTTAGGCGTGCGAACATTAACAAAACCTATATTATAACCTGTTCTCCGAATGATGGAATACATTTCAGATATTTGCTTTATCAGTTGTTAGCTTAAATCTTTAAAACTTTTCATTTTAAATCTTAAATCTTATTGTTGTTTTCACTAGACAACTTTTTGCAACTCCGTTCTTTTAGTTTTGTATTTCTAATCCCTTAATTTTAATCCTCTTATCGTTTTTGAATTCTTATTACTTCGGTATTACTTTCATTTTGAAAAGGTTCGAGACTATATAATTGTAGAGTAACACATTTAAAAAAAAAGTCATTACCAGTTAATGAAACAGGACGACTAGCTCCAGTACCAATGACATTAGAAGCCAAGCATGTATATGTTCCAGAGTCGGTAATGGTTGCTGGTTTCAGAGTCAATGATGGGTTTTCAATAGTCATTCCAATTGTTCCTGTTGTTCCATGATTGAAAACCAGCTTTCCATTGTCCGAGTCTTTTATCCAATAAACATTCGTATGCGGTGGTTTCGAACTAACTGAACATCCTAAAGTTACACCATGACCATCCTTTACGGAAGAGCTTGGCAGTGATACGTCAACTACAGGTATGTCTAAAAACGAATAAATCTAAGTGTAAATTGTGTAAGCTGGTAGCATGAATCATATAGTGTATAACGTTACATTTCGATTTTACTCGAAGTTGTTTAGGAAAATGAATGTCAATAATTAGTGCTGATGGATTAAAACGGAACTAACCTTAAAGGAGTCAGTATGTTTTCCACTTTAAAATTGCTTATTTGATATTGACACTTCGTACATCCCTATGGACATATAAACCAGATAACAAAATGTTAAGTTACTAACTTCTATGACAAGATAAGAATATTCTGTACCGATGAAAGCAAAATAGCAAATATAAATTTAAAAAGTTGAACAATGTAGTGTAAATCACACCACACAGTCAATAATAATGGATCAATGAATTTTATTATCATTCAACATTTACAGTGTGTTTGTGGCAATATACATTTAAGCAAACAATAAACAACAAATTAAAAACAGAACAGTATACTAAAAAAAAAAAAAACAACAACAAAAGTCATAAGTGATAAATTTACAATATTTCAAGATTCAATATCCATGTTACAATGAGACCTCTGCCCTCTAATCTAATAATATATTAAAAAAGAAGCCGACAATTCTAACATGTCTAAAGGAAGCGGGATTTAGTATATGAAATACTGTTTGTTCACCAGGAAAACGAATGAAATGTTCATCATCTAATATTGACACACGTTCAAATAAAAACTGAGACATTATAACGGTTCATTTATTTGGCGACACAAGAAATTAAGGGTAAACGATGTTCGCTGTTAGTTTGCTGCATGAAGTCCTAGAAATTAATTCACCCAATATGTTATTCTGTCAAATGATAATGGGAGAAAAGAACCAACTTAGTCTAGCAGATTAGGGTATTTAATTGTTTACATAAAAGTTGAAGAAATGTGAAAATGTTTCTGTCCGTTACCTTGCGTCAATTCATATACTTAATTTATTAAGTTTTCTTTTAAATAACAAAAAAGTTAAAAGCTTATCAAAATGCAGAAAACACTTATCCTGTGGACGCACCGTTGATCGCAACTCTTAAAGTTCATTCTATTTCAATACTGTTTGTTTGTCTTTTTCTAGTCGATTCCGAAATATGAACATAGGTAAACTACTGGCGCCTTAATTTCACCCACGTATATAAGGGAAAAGTAGTAATTTTTCATAACCACTCGTAAACTTTATTGCTTTTTGTATGGTTGTATCTCGCCTGCCTCATTTGATTTTTGATTTGTACGATACCTTACTTAAATTCCTCATTCATAAATTTAAAAATAATCAAGAAACTAAGGTTCAAACTCGCACATTCTACATTGACATTGACAAAGGTTTTAATTTGTTTAGGTTCGTTTATGCATAAGAACTCCTCAAATATTCAATTAGTAACATTATTTTAACATAAATAGTTTTTAGTGTTATTGTGCTAGTTTACCTTAAAAATTCTTCGGATACACCTAAATTGATGAAGTTTTATTTTCCTTTTGATAACACATCATTGGCATTGTCTTTTGATTATTCAAAGGTAAGGAAATCTTAAATTACTGTTATACTTTTTTTTATTAATGACTGAACACGTGACCAAATGTTTACTTTAAAAAACAATCTGTGTTTATGTACATTTTGTCAGCATTTCAATTCAATTATATATGAAACATTATTGTCAATATTTATATCATAGTAAAAGATTTCTGAATTACGTAAGGCATTTTATCCAGTCTCCTCTATTTTGAATATCACGTTTCTCGAAGGAAACTCATTGGTACGGAACAACCCTATGATACAGTTGACTTGGGTATGAATTTTATTTTTATATAAAAAAGAAAGTACAGTGGGGTGCAGACCAGGCATTACATGTAGACGGGCTGAAAAAGTTAACACGACGTTTACTCGCGTGCACTTTATGTAAACTTAACTCCGAAATTTCAGTAGACATAAAAAGAAAGCGGGGGTTTACCTTCGCATTTACCTCGGCGTTTACGCGATAACAACGTGTCTTCTTATTTTGTAAATAGTAAACGGGCGTTTACTTTCGAGTTTACTGCCGCGTAAACGTGAAAGAAGGTGCGTCTTCTATTTTTGTAAAAAGTAAACGCACGTTGACTGTTTTTAGTAAACGCGCTTTAACGCAGATTGCCATCATATCCTGGATACACTGACCTAACATATCACATTATAAATTGTGTCTTGTATACTATTATTTGTCTGTTTGTTTGTCATTTTATTTTTAGCCATGGCGTTGTCAGTTTATTTTCAATCTATGAGTTTGACTGTCCCTCTGGTATCTTTCGCCCCTCTTTTATAAGGTACATTAAAATGACAAACTGTCTATTTTCGATTGACAGATTGACGATTACGATATTACACATCTTTAATAATTTGAAAATTAATTATCGTATGGTACAAAATGGATAGGATATTTATCCTGGAACTTTAAAACCTACAAGACTTTCAGTTTACATTCGTGATAGTGGAGTGACAAATTAAGAAAAAGGGTGCTTATTTTACGACTTTAATGGACCGTCATAACTGCAAGCTAAAAACAATTTTTTGGAAAGCCAATACCGTAATTTAACTTGTCTGCCCGGTCGTAGACTTTTCTGCGGTGCAGTTTATTATAAAATAGAAAGAAAAAAGATATTTGGATTTTTTTTTCAAATTTCAACATGAAAAACAATTGGGTTTTTTAACTTTTGCATATGATTTTACATTATTTAAGTGTTTTTCATATTGTAAATCTAGACTTCCTCCTTTTTATCCTTAATTTTGTCAATTTTGATTCAGTTTAACGAATGCACACTCTGTATTATTTTAACGAAGTGGTTACAACATTTGTAAATTTAGATTTCATCGACAATTTCATGATTTTCCGATTTAAAATGTTATAAAAACTTCCTTTTGTAAAGTTTTGAAGCCAGTCCAACTCAGTATTTCTAATAAATTAACTTTTATGAGGATTTTTAACTTTGTTTTATAGTTTAATGAATTTCCGGATTTAAATTCCTATCCGATACGAAGTAAAATTACTATTTTATTGATAAATCGCTTCAATAGCCCATCATAGTATTGTTCGTAGTTGTGCCATTTAAATATTGTTTTATTGATATGTTTGCATCAGAAGTTTATTGTACATTGTTTATACAAGTTTAGTTTATGACTTATTAATTTTGCGTTAAATATTTATTTTACCGTGTTTTTTTACTTTAGTTTAAAATCTTTACTAAAAAACAATTTGGACCCGATAGGGTTTATTCCCGAAATATGTCGGCATTTTAGTAGTCCATCGAAGCTTACTCCTTCGCGAGCAAAAACAAAAACAACTGGAATCTTTGCATTATATGTCAGATTTCAACAAGTGAAAAACTGTCCTCTCTAACTGCAAAAGGAAAGCAAACCCTTAGCAATACTGTAAATACAAGGAAGATGATGTGTACCGCAGACTCCATGATGAGTATAGTTCACTTGATAATGTTGATATAAAAAAATTGAATTATCATAAATCCTGTTACAAATCTTACACTAGCAGGGTAAATTTTGAAAAGTTTCCACAATCTGATATTCTAGGTGTTCATACGGACACTTTCCACAAAGATGATCAATGTCTACCCCTTTTGACTGGACTGCTTGCATTTTCTGCAAGCACACATCATACAAGAGCGACAAACAGTTACGACACATAGAAACTGACGAAAGACTTAAAACAAATAATTATAGAATAAGCTGACAAAAACAAGATTTGAATTAAAATCATTCCTTTTTTCGGAGGAATTCAAAACTAAAGCTCTTTACCACAGGGCTTGCATTGTTAATTGTTTACTTAACAGTCAAAAGAAAGAAGAATTAATCGATGAGTTGGATATTTCTGAACATGATAATTCTTTTCGTTGTCTAGTGAGCGACATGAACGAAGACTTGCTTCATCACAAACAACATTTTTTTAATGTCTTTTCTTTTAGAAAAATTCTGTTTGTTTCTACCTAATGATTTGAAAACTAAGTACACTTCTACTAAGCTACAACGTAGGTTAGAAAAACATTATGCAAAAAATCCCGGCAATAGCAGAATCCATGCCTGCTTTAAACAAAAATATGTTTACCCCATTACATCTTGGTTTGGCATTACAATTACACCATGAGTTTGGTTCTAAAAATTTGATTGAAAATCTAATTTCCCATGTTTTTTTGTGCATCCTACTCTACGTAGATATCTGACTAGTTTAGCAAATTTTGAAATAGACAAAATCCAAGCCATGTCCTATATATGTACCTAATGGTATTGCTCCATTTGGAGAAGGTGGTCGTATAATACAGGAGGGAGCAGATAATATAGACATAAATGCTGAGACAATCGATGGTAAAAGTACTTTTCACTCCATGGCTTAAATTGGTACCAAGACAAACCATTTAAACAATATTGAACCAAACGAATGGAAGGCGTTCTTTGACTGTCACAGTTCATTTATCTGTATCTGAAACATCCAAAAGCACTGAAGGTATTGAACAGTTCTTTTCTGTTTTTAAAGAACATATTTTGCCATTGTTTGAAGAATTCAGAATACACTCTTGTAAACTATCACCAACTTTTGCATTTTGGGATATGTTTCTTCGTTCAGTTGAGATATTGTTACAGAACATTAGGGCTGAACGGAATGGGTTGTGGCTATAGATGCAATGTTGCCATACTTTTTTCATTACCAATCGGAAGAACTATGTTGGACACCAGCCTACGTGTTGAATTTGCCTGAAACGGTCAAATACGCCTTTTTGTCAGGTGAGTTTTCAATCAGAAAAAAAAATTGGAGCTTTTAATGGTATCTGGCTACAGAGAAAACCACTATTAAAGATTCTAAAGGTTGTAGCGGCATCATAGGACAGGCAAGGAAGTAAATCCGCTTTACTTCGATGGATGCTTACAAGACACATCCTTGCGCATTTTAGTTCTGAAATGAGATCAAGATCTGGATTAACAACAGACGCAGAAACTGAACACGAAGAAAACAAGCTAACGAAAATGACACGAGACGAGAAGAATGTCTCTGATTTGAAAGGGTATGTGCATTCAAATATAACCGATCCATTTAACGTTGCCGATCATCCCAAATCATTAATAAATATTTCTACAGAGATGCAAGCCTCAAAAGATGTTCAGGGATCTCTTCTCAAATCACTTGAACGTGACATGGTAAAATCTTTGGTGGAAGGCTGCTTTAATGAGTCTCAAGACCTTCGAATATATAACCAAGACCTAAAAACTAACGTTTAAATAAGGTGACTTTGTTAAAGCACACATAAATCCAGAAATAATATTTCGTCGTGCTTTAGCTCTTGCTAATATTCGAGACGATGGGACTGTAGACAGGATCTTGGCATATCATATTGGTCCCATACCTTCAGCTCTGTTCCATGATGATGGTACCATGCGGAAGTGTTGTAAAACTGATATAATTCACCTCCTTGAAGAGGAAGTTTGCTCTTCTGTCAATCTTCCCAGTTATGACAAATTGCACACATTTTTTATACGCAATACTATGGGAATTATTCAGAGTATGGATGCCAAGAAATGTAGCACATTTGGTGATATTGTACAAAGCTACCTCAAAATTCTGTCGACATGTTTTTGCAATGCCGGAACGGTGGTTGATGTTTTTGATCGCTACGATATAAAGAATTTAATCAAATCTGCGGAAAGACTCCGTCGCACTTTGTCATTCGGAGTTCAGAAAGTGTATCAAGTTATCAAAGGAAGAGTAACTCTGGATCGGAAAAAGTTTCTGTGTAATGCAGAAAATAAACAAACATTGATCAGATTACTTGGTGAGTATTGCGAGCGGTATCATGAAGAGTCCCCTTTAGAGGGAGATGCAGTGCTGTTTCTCGCCGGTATTTTTAATGATTCAGAGGTTGTAAAAAGATTTCATGTAACAATCTGACAAACTCTATTGATTTATACAACACACAGGAAGACGCAGGCACTCGAATACTGTTAAATTCGTTGTATGCAGATGATAATGTTCTTGAATATCCAAAGGTCTTATTATTGTACAATAATCTGATACTGACATGGTAGTACTCTGTGTTCACTTTTTACCCAAACATGCAAATTCTGAGGAGTTGTGGTTCCAAACGGGATCCGTATCGAACTTAAAAGACGAACGGCGTTTCTTACCAGTCCATGAAATCGGTCGGTCACTTGATCCTTCAATCTGTAATTAACTACCAGCTTCACATGCCCTGACAGGTTGCGACACAAATTCTTCTTTTTTCGGTCTAGGTAAGAAATTCGTGTTTAAGCTTTTGCAGAGGGATGCAGAAAAATTCCAAACTCTTCCGACTAGTTTTGCAACGGGAGATTAGGAATCCGCCGTTACCAATGGCCGTGCATTTGTCGCATCATTGTATGATACAAAGGGAAAGTTCGGGAATCTACATGACGATTTAACCAAGCTAAGGGTGCAATTTGCCACCACAAAGGATGCAAATCTTGTGAGAATACTCCGATGTCAAAACTCGTTTTTACAGCACATCCTAAGTGCAATGCTTCAAACGCAAGTCTGGATGAGCTCTCATATTACTAAACCAGCATTCATACTTCCCAAAGACTCTAGTTGGCAAGAGGGTAAAAACGGTTTGCTCCCGGTATTCTTTGAGGGACCTATGTCAACAGATTTCCTTCAAGACCTTGTCAAGGGCAAACAATCTTTTAATAAAAGCTGTGTATGCAACCAAAATAATTAAGCGTGAACCAAAATTTGTTCATGTGAAGGGTATGATGGTTGTAGAAATTATTCTACTCACCGAGCAATATTGGAAGAAGACGACGATGAAAACGATGAATTATGTCAGGTATACTAAAATTGGCATGCCCTTTGTTTGTAAAAAATACCCCTACAACCAACCTTTCAGGGTTTCCATGTGTGCTTTTGTAAGGCACAATCTAATAAAACCTCAAAAGTGCATAGAGCTTGAATATACGCTGAACCTTCAGTCCTTCATTTAACTAATTTGAGTTAATTGCGTTGTTAATTATTTGTAACTGACAATAGATATACATTAAAGCAAAAACTAAATTGACTTCGATTCTTTTTTAAAAAGCCGTAAAATTAAAAAATAAATCTTTGAAAGTACATGCGATGTGTACAAAATAAATTAAGAGTCGGTTGTTGTTCCGTCTTATATTTTCTTATTGTTGCTAGTCTGAATTCTCCTGAAAATGGGCATTTGGTACTAATATTATTTTAAAATTTAGTTAAAAATGAAGTGTCCCAGTTTATTTCATCATTGGTTTCTTGTTTAGTACCAATTCATATATTATTTTCTGACTTTTTATTTCCTCTTTAGAAATAAATTAACACTAGTAGTGAAAATCTCAAACACTAATTGACCTTATTTAAAAAAAATTGCACCATATTTCGATTCTACGACCAGAAAAAAATTAAAGTATAAACATTTCAATTTCCAAAAAGTTATGATTTAACCTGCAGGTATGGTGGTCCATTAAAGTTACACATTTGTTGGCTTGGTCACTCCACTATGATGGATATTAAGTTTAAGAAAATATAGATAATCTGCTATTTAAAGTTATAGGAACTAATTTTTTGCAATTAATAAAAGTTAATTTTTCGAATTAAAAGTGTTTTTGAATAGTTACGGTTAAACACATATACGTAAAATGTTAAGATTAAAGACATTTATCAAAATAACAAAAAATGTACAAATTTACACGAAGTTATTTTTATAATTGACACAATTAGTTAATGGGAAAAGTAAACGCGCGTTTACTTTCAAGTGCAAGTAAAATACACTTGTGAATCTGAAGTAAACACCCGTTTACTACTGACTAAACGGACATAAAGTAAACGCGCATTTACATTTAGGTAGACATTAGAAATTTCCATTTTGACCGCGTTAACGTAAATAAAGTAAACGCACGTTAACTAGTAAGCGCGAAAACTGAAGTGAATTACCGAAATATGTGCACGCGGCTTTAACGTGTGTTTACTTTATGTAATGCTTGGTCTGTACTTGAAATCATATTCAAGAGAGAAAGAAAAACAAGCCATCGCTTTGATTGATATCACACCTACCTTACTTTTGATAATATGTCTTGTTGCATTTGTTCTTTACTATTATCTCTGTGGGATTAATTTTCCTTTAGCTAGGGATATTTATAAATATGTAGGAAAAGATCTAAATATGAAAGAATAGTAGCAGATTCTACGTTTGTTTCTTTTCCGTGAAATAGGGAAGGGGATATGCGCTAAAAAACAGCAATCAGATATGTCTTTCGAATTTAACCAGTCATAAAACTAAAGAAATTTGTATAATTGGGTCAAAATTTCTTCAAATGTGAAAGGTCAAAGAACTGTTTGCTTCCCTTTATTGATCATTGTATCGAATAGTATTAAGCAACTGTACATGTATAAGCAAAGTGATAGTAGTCAAATAGGCTGTGAGTGGGCTTTTATCTATACTATTACAGGGGTTATGTTAAAAATTATAAGGTAAATGACTTAAAATTAACAAATAAACGGACATTTTATCCCTCCTTCATCCTATGGGAACTAAATATTTCTTGTAAGGTCTAAATCATTGCTTATAAGTATTCTGACCTGGAAAATTAAAAACTTTGACTGGCTTTCAAAGGGATTTTTAACGTGAAAACTCAACAACATTTTTACCCTTTCTAAAGTTATCATTTTTAAAATCATAAACATAAAAAAAAAACTATTCAATATAAACCCAAATTGCTTCAACAGTGTTGAATCCTAAAACTGATAGGATATTTCCAGTTAATTGCTTTGAAATGTCTAAGGCTTTATCCTTGCATTTTGCACTTTTACAATGTTCTCAAAGAGTCGGCTTTCACATTTACGACTTCGTTTGACTTTGAAATCCTTATTTCGACCGTTATGATGTCACATTTGGTATGAATGTTTTTCATTTCATGTATTGTTTCGATTCAAAACTTGGTTTGCTATATCATTACATGTATGTATAACTAAACTGATTATGTTTTATCTAAATTTGGTACAAATGCTTGATATTTGCGAGAATAAATATGAATGAAATAGAAACTCACACACTAGGATAAGCTATGTTTCCATGATTCGATATGAGTGTTCAGAATTTTCAATATGAATAAAAGCACCATATCCGTCCTTAGCACTGCAAAAGAAATACTTTATCTTACTCTATTTCATTTAAGAACATACCTCCATCAACGTTCAAAATGGTACTTTTACTACTTCCCGTTCCAACAACATTTTCCGCAGAACACGTATAAGATCCAGCATCAGAGGTAGTAACATAGTTAATGGTAAGTCTTGGATCGTCTAGTGTCACTCCACTCACACCAAGTGTGTCCTTCCTTATAGTTCTAATAAAACCTTCCGTAATATGCTGCCAGTATATGTCAGTGTGTTCAGGAACAGCTTGCACCTTACAATGTATTGTATAACTCTCTCCAAACATTGCTGAATGAGGTAGGGTTCCTATTGACACTTCAGGTAACCCTGTATGTAAAAAGGTAGGAGATACACTGAAAGGTTTTAATCACTATTTTTGATGATTTATGTATTTATGACATTTAAATGTTACTTCTACAATATTTATTAGTATTAAAAATAAAATTTTCATTTTTTTATTTTTTTTTTAAACATTAATGTATGCACTACAAATTTATTCAATTTATTTCATAAAAAGTATTACACACTTACCAAAATCCAACGCAATTTAAAAAATGGGGAACTCCATAACAACTGATAAAATCAAACGATTTCAATCAACGAAACAAGAGAATATTTACTGTCATGTTGTTTTACAGCTAGCTAAACCTTCCACTTGTTATACAGATGTTTAAGGGCCAGCGACCCAAATAGATGAAATTTGTTAATGTGACAATAATTAAATTCAAGCAGCTAAAATTGTGTAAACATATATCACTTACGTACAATGAAACTGACTAAAAAATTCAAACAAACAAATAAACTTATTTAACAAAGATACAAACAAAAAAGGTGCAGTAGATAGCCATTTTGGCAGTAACGCAGTGTATACACTGGTTCATTACTGAATATATACAAATCATTAGTATTATTATCAATATTATCATTAAGGTAGAATAACAACCGGTCATCTAACCAATTAAAGAGCCAATGCATAATTAACACAAAGAGCAAACCGACTTATTTGTGTATTACTTTACGTTGGCAGATATAATCACCAATTTTGCCTGACCTTCCTTAAAAAAAATACAGAAGAAAATCATACCTCCTGAAACACTCAATACGGTTGGTAAACTTCCACGCTGTCCTAAGTCATTTACAGCAATACACGTATATATATATATAACTTGTCAGTGACGCTGACGAGAGTATTAAGTACCAGTAACACTGACACTTGTCTGTATATTTTGTCATTGACAACGACAAAGAAAAAAAACAATCAAAATTCTGTTCCTAAAATGAATAAATAATTGTCAAATGAATTATTAGTGAAATACTTAAAAGTTATTTGTCTATTTCGTCTATTTCGAATATACTTTTTACAAAATTAAAAACTTTTTGCGGCTACACAATCATTTCCGGTAATTTCCAGGTGAGTTGATACAAACTTCTGACACCAATATAGGTTGCACTTATGTAAAGATAGACAATGCAATTTCCCATAGGAACTCCTTTTACGGCTAAAACTGAGCCACTTTTACTATGACGTTTCGTAATAAATTATATCCTAGAATGCAAAGTTCATATGCACTACTATTCTTTTTCAAAGGTCAAAACATTGGGCTGTGCGGCATATTTTTTAACATTTATATGCCCGAAGTTCCAAGAGTTTAAACTTATACTTAAATTCTTTACTACCCCTTCTTTCACTTTTAGTCTTCTTAAGAATTCAATTTAGCCGCTATCCATGTGTATTTATACTGTTAACATTCCCATATTATGTCTCTATGAGATGAAACATAGAAGTCATATCTAGGAACCAGTAAGTAAACAAAATAAAATATCTATGAATGTTATATATTTCCCCAAAAGAGGCGTGGTTTGTGAAACAGCTGTATTTACAAAGTGCAACCTATAGTATGTGATGCTAGAACTTATATAACAAATAAGGTTACCTTGAGTTATTCAGATAAAGACTTATGGCAGATATCTGGCAGATACAACTTGGAGGTCCAGGTCAAGTTTAGACGTGTGTCTTCATCAATTACTGGAGTTATTCTGCAAAAAGTACTCACCACCGGAAGTTGACATGCACAGAATAGAATAGTCCGAGTTCCTTCATGATGAGTTCCGGAGGACTACAACAGGTATGTTCAAGTGTTCAATAATTTATATATTTTATTGTAATACTAAAAATGCAAATATTGTAGTGTTTTTGGATTCTTTTTAAGTGTGTTTTAAGTAATACAATGTCCAAATAACTGTCCATTCCTTACGGCCTCCGCACCATTATTTCCCAGGAATGGACAGTTATTTAGACTCTTTCTATAACACAGCGATCTTCCCTTCAATTTGATTTCTAACAAACCTTTCATTGGCAAAACATACATTTTATAAGCTATGAATATTTTGTGACTTTGATAGGTAAGCAGATTCTGCTTTACATTCGGCACCTGATGTGATGTTCATGAGAAGTACAAAAGTGACAAGTTTCATTTGGAGATGACATTATCGAAGAAAAAACGTCGGGATTGTTGTTTCAACAATTATCAGGTCTAGCGGCATTCGACAAGTATTAAATAACATAAAACTCAAATAAACTGTTTCATTTTATTTTGAAGCGGCTTTAAATGTAAACGAAATATTAATTCTAAATACAACATCAAACATGGAAGAACGCAAATCAACAACTATAGATCATATGCATGTAACATTTCCAATTGAATATTGTATAACCACAACATAATGTAACTCGACATGGATTATCCCTCTTTGGTACATGTATGTCAACAGTAAAAATTACATACCAGCGTGTCGTCAGCTTTTTTTAAGACGTGTCGTTCGATGGCAACATATATGTTGTAATACAAGTCACTCTTTAGAATCATTTTCAGAAAAAAAAATTGAAAGACTTACTGGTACAAAGTCTGAAAAAGCTACCATAAAAAAATGATCGACAAAATCACGACAAAAAACCAACCCTTTTTTTATGTTTGTATTATTGTTATTTTATCAAATTACAAATTTAATAATATAGTAAAAACGAATGCGATTAACCATAATTCTTGCATAGATTCATGTATGTGTTAAATCAAAGAACATCAAAATACAATATTTTACCTTATTTACTGCGACTTTTACATCAGTTTCAACGTGTTTAAGTTACCAGGCACAAGCTAGCATCCACTTTTAGCAGCCAATCAAGGTAGTAACCAATCAAGATAGCAGCCATTTTTTTTCCAGCAGCCAATTTTTAATGATATGTCTAAAAACCAAAAAACTGTATAAGACTCGAACGTTCCAAAAATCTCATAATCTTAGTGAATCATAATAGCACCTCTTTTGACAGCGGAATTCTTCATTTTCATATCTTGTTGTAATTCTCAAAAGGAGAAAATCCGTTTTATATAACAATGATGCCAGCAGCCACTTTTTGCGGTGGACACTGTTTGATTAATTAAAAAAAATGTACAATTTAAAAATCGCCGTTACCATTCATTTTCTCGTTTTTTTAATTCCTTATTATTAGGAGGTTCAGAAACAATGTAGGAAAAGAAAAAAAAATCTAAGTACAACTACAATTGTTAATAAATGATGTCATTAAGTTGTAATGAATCGTACTGTATATACAGATTCCCATTGCACTGAATAAGAAAGATGCAATGTACGACAGAAAAACTACAGTACATGCTTTCTGTACATCGGTATCCTCAAATATCTAGAATTTCAGTTCAAACAGTTTTAATATCTATTTCTCTATACATGATATGAAAACATTTCGATAAACATGTTATGGTAATCTGTTTTTAATGCGATCAAGTATTTTCTATCAACAATTTTGTACGGCATGCAGCATGAAATTTTTCTTTTCAATGTCAGTGCAAATAATTGACATATAACTAAAATGTGGTGACCAGACGTGCGCGGAAACATATTTATGGAGAATAGCCTCGGTCAACACCTTTAATATTAGCTAGGTCTGGTTCGGATCTGTGCAGTAGGGACCTGCCGAGGAGTACCGAATGCGTGGTAGATATAAAAAATACGTTAAGGGGCAACTTTGGTCCCCTGTTACGACCAGACGGCCAGGATCCAAAAAAATATATGAGTGGTAAATATCCTCGATCAACACTTTTAAAATGAGCTAGGTTAGGTTTGGAACTTTGCCGTACGGACTTGCAAAGGAGTACCAAATGTGAAGTTGATATGAAAAATACATAAAGGGGCAACTTTCGACCCCTGTTATGACCAGATAGGCTCGGATCCCAAAATAATATTTGAGAGGCGAATAGCCTCGGTCAATATCTTTCTTTGAAATGAGTTTGATGTGGTTCGAAATTTTGCAGTTGGGACTTGCCCAGGAGTACCTAATGTGTAGTTGATTTGAAAAAAATATGTTAAGAGGCAACGTTGGTCCCATGTGGTGAACAGACGGGCACGGATCCCAGAAAAGAACTTTGCCGTAGGGACTTACCGAATGTGTGGTTGATATGAAAAATACTTGAAGGTGCAACTTTGCACTCCTGTGGTGACCAATCGGGTTTGGATCCAAAACAATTTTTTGAGTGGCAAATAGCCTCGATCAACACCTGTTAAATGAGCTACATTAGATTCGATGGTTGATATGAAAAATACGTTAGGGAAAACCTTGGACCCCTGTGGTGACCAGACGGGCCCAGATCCATGAAAAATATTTGTGTGGCGAATAGTCTCTGGCCATACCTTTGAAATGAGCTAGTTCTGGTTCGGAACTTTGCCATAGGGACTTGCTGAGGAGTACCGAATGTGTGGTTGATATGTAAAATACGTTAAGGGGCAACTTTGGACCCCTATGGTGATCAGACAGGCCCGAATCCCAGAAAAAAATTTAAGTGACGAATAGTCTCGGTCAACACCTTTAAATTGAGCTAGGTCTGGTTTGGAACTTTGCCGAAGAGACTTACCGAGGAGTACCGACTGTGTGGTAGATGTGAAAAATACGTTACACAGTAACATTGGTCCACTGTGGTGACCAGAAGGTCCCGGATCCTAGAAAAAGATTAGAGTGAAAAATTGCCTCGGTCATCACATTTAAAATTAGCTAGGTCTAGTTCGGAATTTTGCCGTAGGGACTTGTCGAGGAGTACCGAAGGTGTGGTTTATATGAAAAATACCTGAAGGTGCAATTTTGCACCCCTGTGGTGACTAGACGGGCCCGGACCCCAGAAAAATATTTGAGTGGCAAATAACCTCGATCAACACCTTTAAAATAAGTAGGTTAGGTTCAAATTTTGCCGTAGGGACTTGCCAAGGAGTACCGAATGTGTGGTTGATTTGAAAAATACGTTAGGGCAACTTTGGACCCCTGTAATGACCAAACGGGCCCGGATCCCAAAAAAATTTTTGAGTGACGAATAGCCTCTGGCAATACCTTTAAAATGAGCTAGGTCTTGTTTGGAACTTTGCCGTAGGGATTTGCCGAGGAGTACTGAATGTGTGGTTGATATAAAAAGTACGTTAAGGGGCAACTTTGGTCCCCTGTTGTGTCATGACGGTTAGGATCCGAGAAAAAAATATTTGACTGGTAAATAGCATCGATCAACACCTTTAAAATGAGCTAGGATAGGTTCGGAACTTTGCCGTACGGACTTGAAGAGGAGTACCGAATGTGTAGTTGATATGAAAAATACGTTAAGGGGCAACTTTGGACCCCTTTTATGACCAGATAGGCCCGGATACCAGAAAAATATTTTAGTGGCGAATAGTCTCGGTCAACACCTTTGAAATGAGCTAGGTCTGGTGCGGAACTTTGTCGTAGAGACTTACCGAGGAGTACCGAATGTGTGGTTGATATGAAAAATACGTTGTGTGGTTGATATGAAAAATACGTTAAGTGGGAACTTTGGTCCCCTGTTGTGACCAGACGGTCAGGATCCAAGAAAAAATATTTGAGTGGTAAAGAGCCTCGATCAACACCTTTAAAATGAGCTAAGATAGGTACGGAATTTTGCCGTACGGGCTTGCAGAGGAGTACTGAATGTGTAGTTGATATGAAAAATACGTTAAGGGGCAACTTTGGATCCCTTTTATGACCAGATAGGCCCGGATCCGAAAAAAAATATTTGAGTGGCGAATAGTCTCGGTCAATACCTTTGAAATGAGCTAGGTCTGGTGCGGAACTTTGCCGTAGA